TATATTGATTTTCTCGTTGTAATCAATGTTACTCAATTTTAATTTACCAGCGACAATAGTTAATTATATATCGTAATACATAAAATTAACTGAGAGTATTAAACCATTCACTGTTTCCTGATTAAACAATTGCTAACTCATGGAATACACAGTGACAGATCTTTGTCTGTCAGAATAGAGACTGCTCGATAAGACTTCGCATTTTGTCTTATATAGGCCTACTTTTCATTTTTTTTTATTAGCCTGGTGATATCATCGTATTCGATATGAAAACACTTCACGGAGCTCCCATGCACACGTCAGCGGAAACACCGCGGAGGATCTTGTCGACACGTTGGCTAGGGGACGATGCAGTGATAGCGGAGCGACAGTGGGAGGTGTCGCCACCACTGAAAAAAGGAATGGCTGCAGGAGAGCCAGCGATTTGCGATGAATTCCCTCTGGTATGGGCAGTCTAAATATGCACACAATTCGTTAACTCCCTGGTTATTAGTACAGTAATATTTAAATACGTTTATATTCCTCTTATTTTGTCAGAGCATTTTAAATCCAGTAGGTCACAACCGACACATAATTAGGTGCAACAATCGTGATTTACGATGAATTCTGGCACAACTTAAATCTGCACAAAATTCGACAACTCTCTGGTTTTAGCAACATTTAAATACCTTCATATTCCTCTCTTTTTTTAATTAAATCATTTTGATTGATATAATACTATACTATAATATTATTATTCTTATTAATAATAATAATAATAATAATAATAATAATAATACTACTACTAATAATAATAATAATAATAATAATAATAATAATAATAATAATAATAATAATAATAATAATAATAATGGTAACATACTGGCATGTACAGTACTGCAAGCACAACGGAGAGCAAACTAAGACCTTTATTTTCTTCAAGTGGGCCCTCTATCGACAGATAAGTAAATTGCTTTCCGACGAAATTTTTTTATTCATAAAGTGTGAATATACGAGAATAAATATAAAAAGAAATGTTATATACATTTCTTTCTTCAAGCACATACAATGAAACTACAATTAGTTTAATGACATTTCTGTTTTAATACTTCTCCATAAATGAATATTCTAAGCAAATGGACTGTGTTCTCCCAGGCAAGGTTCTGTGATACATAAGTCATTTTATTTCACACAATAGTGTTTATTGTTTTCATTGTATACATCGCATAAACGTATATTATTTGTGCCTTTATGAACACTACGGCAACATGTGTTCTTACCAAAACTTTAAACTAAAAGTCAGTTGATAAACTTGCAGAAAATTATCCTGTAAAGACAGATGTTGCTTTTGCATCGGCTTTAACCATAAACCACTATTAACTAACATTAACTAAACGTACTGTACTTTGATACGAATGTGAAATTATTCCTATATTTCCATGGTTATCAGCATCATCTCCGCTTCCTCTTTAGTCCTGTCAGTGGCGGTGCCATGGGGTAAGGAGGAAATTTCCTTTTCAGACAAGTATGGAACCCTATCATCGGATGTCACTTGAGGTTGTTGGACTAACTCAAACCAAAAAGTAGTGTGATTACAGTTTTTAATATTGGGGATTCCGTGTATTGTAGTCTAAAACAATTTGTACCATCTAAACCATGAAATCCTGACAACAGTCCCCCCCCACCCCCAACACAGGTTTTACTCTGGGACCATGGTTACTATACAGACCCTTGGTTCGGATCCCTTGCCTGGCATCTTAGACTTAGTTGTCAGCAAATTTCTTGAGCCATCACTACAACATCGTTGTCGCCGCCGTTGTCGTCATCAGCAACATACTTTATTATTATTAATAATAATAATATTGTACCATTATTATAATTTTCCAAAAGCTAAAGAAACCAATCAAACAAAAACTATTGCATAATTGCTGTTTTTATTACAAAAAAATATCATAAATATACTGGAATATCTTAACGTACATTCATGTGTTACGATTCTTCCATTTTTAAATACACATCCTTAAAAATATATCGTAAGTTTTAGCAAAAATACACTTTTAACAGGGACATTTATACATAATAATCATCTCAATAACAGCTTAACTTAAATTTGTACACAAATTTGTATCAAGGTTTTAGTGGTTACATCACATAAATACATGAAAAAAACAAGGAATGTTTACAAACTGAATTAAAATATTAAAATGATACAATATATTTTTGTTCCATCGAATCCACAATCAGGACTATTGAAAAAATTGATGCACGAATATTTTACATACGGTACTTGTGACACAAAATATTCCTAATTTCTGTCCTAATAACTATGCATATTAGTCACCGAACTTATGATTATAAACTTTGATTACAATAATCAATCCACTGTTTTCGTGTACAATTCATTCTTGATTTTTTTTTTATTTATATAATTTTGAGTGCCTTTATATATATAAAAATGTTAATTATTCTTTGTGGGTAGCTTTTCAAAATTAAGATTTTTCTATGATCATCTGACTATTGGAAATCGCTATCACGTTGATATGTGCTCTAGAATGCAGCAATAATTATAGCTGAAAATCTAGTTTAACTTTTTGCACTACAGTCTCGAACCATTCACAGAACAGTCTCAGAATGTATAAGGGCTTAAGCTTTTGTGTAATCATGAATCGAACAAATAATAACTAAAAAACTTGGTATTGATAAATATAATTACACAAAATTGTAAGAAATTAAATTATAAACACACTTTTATAATATCTTGTGTCCCCTTGCAACAGTTCCATTCAAAATCGGTTGGTCAATGAACTCTATTGTGCAGCTTCCTTCTGTACTACAGGGGGCGCTCTCCAGCTCAAACAAGACAATGAAATTTTCTGTACGCTTCAGTATTGTTGCTGGAACATACAGGGTGACTTGTGGGCCCTCTACAGGCCAGTACCGACCAAGATTAAAGCCATTGATATACGCTTGTCCCTGTTAAAAAAGAATGCACAATAAACATAATTGACAATAAAGACTACTGTATTGGATACAGTAAACAATTTACGGTATATTGGTGTAAAATCTCAAAACCTTTAAACACAATTAACTGCTGAGCTAGTCAACATGAACAATGAAATTCTGTATTTGAATTGCTTAATTTGGTGTTTAGGTTATTAGTTCACTTAAAAATGAAAATGAAATTATGTTTTCTTTGCAAATTAACTAATGCATAAAAAATACTATAAACTGAACTGAATGGTTCTTATCTGTATCTCACTTAAGTTAATAATGTATTGCATCAGATTCAATGGGCAATTCATTTTTCCAATTACAGTTCTGAAGGTGTTTTGTAACAGAGAGTAAATATTTCTTATAAAATAAAGATACTTCTGTATGTCATAATGTTTAACTCAAATACTTACTTTCGTCCAGCCCGACACTTTCAAGAATGTATCCCTTGGTTCAGTGATATCTGGTGGGAGAGCAGGCATTGTGCCACTGTACAGAGTAGGAACATTCAGCTGTGTCTGGGGGCTAGGCCAGGTCAGTTCAAATTTTTGTGAGATCTTTGGCACAAATTCATCAAGTTGAAGTGAGTAGATTTGAAAGCCCTCTAGAATTGTGTCGCCTAATGTTATATTTCCAACTATTCCCTGCCATGTAAAAATAAAATATGTGTTAAAAGAGAAATCAAAAATATTATTTATATAATGAGAACTGAGAGAAATGATAAAGAACATTAGGAAAAGAAATAACATTCATGCATATATTGGCAAGAAGGTGAATTATTAATTTGATGTGTTTGTATATTATTGGTAGCCAATGATAGTAATAATTTTAATATTAATTATTCTTTATTGTTTACCTTCATGTCTGCGATAGTTTCACCAAAATTTATTCTCCCTTGATTCTCCACAACAATATCCAAGATGTCACCTTTTGATGCTGTTATATTCAGTCCAGTCGGCTTGTTTCGTACAACAATCCCAACAGGCACCTGTAACCAATCAAATTACATCAACTAACAATAAAATACAATATATATAAAAATAGTGTTAATAATAAGACATTAATAACAACAACATTAAAATGTTTTCTGGACTCTACAACTGAACCCTACCTTATCCCAGGTGCTTCATCCATTTACTGCCCTGTGTGTGGCTACGTTCAGACTTGGAAATAAGCCAGGCTTGAGTTAAGCCCGGCTTAACTTTGGCAGGCGTTCAGACTAGCGGGTTTAGCCAAGCGAGAATTTGCATAATAATGAACCGTAACCAGGAAACGTGTTTCAAAACATTGCTTGCGAAATGTACACTCGCTCACAGCGTACGTAATTGAATGCTGATTGGTCATTTCGTCACCCTAAGTCAATGCAAAACCCCCCGCAACGATTAAAGCCCATCTTAGAAAAGTTAAACATGGTGGCGCGCCAGGCCTAGTTACTATAGGAACACAGCCCGGCTTGAGATAAGCCACCTGGTTCAGACTGGCAGGTGGATAAACCCGGTGAGTTGAGCCGGGTTTATCCACCTAGTCTGAACTAGGCCTGTGTAAATTATAACCAAAATACATAAAATTATTGCAATGCTCATATTTGTTTCATACCTGGTTGATTATTATGTATCCCCGATCCCGTATCCCTGGGATATCCAACAGCGTTGCCTTGGTAACATTAATTGCAATTGTTGTCCGATACATTATGAATCCAAAACTCTGAAACAATAATTGGTATTATTTTAATTACATTTTTTTTTTAAATGCAGAAGTTTATTATAATTATAACTGTAGTGACTATCAAATTTTTATAATTCTATATAATTACAGTAATACAAATAACAATTATAAATGAAGCATAAAATTATAAGTCTATAATCTTATGTATGTGGTAATTACAGCCTCATTAGTTCTACACATACTGACAGTTAGAATGTAATGTATGCACAGCTGTGATAACAAGACAGTGTTGCTTGGGGTATGATTATTATTCATACCTCCATGCTTGAATGTAAATTAATATGTTAAGTAACAAACAGTTAACTTGAATCATACAGAGATACATTGCAGTAACAGCCATACACGAGCATTTCAACAAGGCATCCAAACTGACCTGCTGCATTGCTTCCATGGTGATGGGATAATTAGATTTGATTGGTCCATAGGGGGTCAGCTTATCTAGAACATCATACAGTGAGCCAACTTTGGTCATCGTCGATTGACCGTAAGCAAGCTTTTGAGTAGCTGGAGGCACTGGAATTAAGGGGACCTTAGCATACTGAAACAAAAGAAGATAATTGTTTATTTATATCAATAATTAATTCAGGTTTGTAAAAGATGCAAGATTAAACAGAAAGAGCAAGCACAAAGACAAAATTCTTTAATTATGGTTACAAACTTCCCAAAAACAAAAGGATTTGAAATGTTCATTGTATTATTTATAAAAATCAACTGTGAATATACAACACAACTTAATGCCTTACACAATATATGTAATTAAATACCAATGTAATAATTATAGTAAAAGATTAAAGGAGAACATAACACTATATTTTTATAACAATTAAATTTGAAAAAAACATAGGTAAAGAACTACAAAAATATATATGCAAAAAAATCAATAATTCAAATTGATTGCTGCCTTTTGGCACTAATTTCTTGAGAAAAACAGTAAAGTCATTTTGCGGGATTTGAACTCAGGTTTCAGGAAATGAAAGACAAGTGCCACAAATGCACAATTCCAGCCTCTACTCATTAACTGTTGCTCAGAAAATAATTGGGTGATATACCTTCTTGATGATGTTTCTAATAGCCATGAGTTTATCTGTTGGATCCCCAGCCTCAGTGAGAGGGGCGTCATAGTCATAGCTTGTTGGTTGAGGACTGTATACTGTGTTGGCTCCATTCCAAAATCCAAAGTTAGTTCCACCCTCAAACATATACCTGAGGAAACAAAGTTCATCAGATAGAAACACAACTTAGTCTCAAATGAAAAAAAACATTATGAGCTTCAGCTAAGAATTCATTTTCCAGTCTTGCAAGATCAAGATCAGTTGATAATCATTAATTCAAGATTTCATTTACACTGTCTACAAGCACTGTCTAGACATGAATATGGCTGGCTATAAGATATACATAAAAACAGCAAATCATGGGGTAATGACTTCAGGATGTTTACATTTTTAAAAGACATTAAGATAAATATGGGCTTGCAAAAGGGTCAATGTTAAACGATATAGGTAGTGAGATATCAATTTTCTTATTCTCATTTTTCAAATGAAATATCTAAACTTAATTATAAATTATGATGTACAGTACATGTATATAATTATTTTTGCTGTCCTGGATTATAGCCAATCACATAATGGTATAGCATATCTATAAAGTTCATTAAAGTCATATTAGACTAAACATAATTTTTTGTCTATTGATTCAAAATATTCAAAAACTATTATCCTTTTCTTTATCCTCTTGAATTAATTAATTTATTTTGTTGTTGATTAGCCAAAAAGTTACAAATGCAGGCTTACATATTTACCGAGGCCCCCATGGCAAGGATCTTATCCAGGAAATCTGTGACCTTCTCCTTAGTAACGGTTGAGTGATTCTGCCCCCAGTGATCAAGCCAACCAGTGTAGAATTCAGAATTGACCTGGAAAAGTAAGAGAAGATTTATAAATAAATAATATTATATGATGTACCCTATGCCTCCATATGAGGTGAATTTATTGAAATTCTTTATTAACCAGAGTCATTAAAATTGAAGACAACAAACGAAGCAGACACAGACAGAACGAATTAAGAGTTAATTCATCGTCTAAAATTAAATTCCATTGGGGTTCCAAGAAAACACTAAATTTCTAGACATAGAAACAATTTTTAAAAAGTAATAACAAAAAGAAAATCATTGCATATAAACATTTTAAAGGCTAAAACAAATTGTATTGTACTGATTTTTTAGCTTGTGCATGGTAAGCTAGAAAATACAGTAAGTTCAGATGAAGAACACATGAACATCACCTACCAATGGGCCCTGAGGCTGGAATTTTCTCTGAAGTTTAAAGGCACTAGAAATATCACCAACTGAAAGTATTCATTTAAAAATGAGAAAACATTTTAAAGTTGTCATATCAAGATTTTGAAATTAATGCTACGATAAAATAATGTGTATGGTGTGTATATAATACATATTGAAGACAGTGTCAAAGTGCTTAGAGAGCTTTGGCATTGGTTTGGTTGTCAAGATACCTTCCTTCAAATCCTAAGATTCTGAGTGGAATCCTGGCAAAAAAATGCAATGCTTATTAATTTAAAAGAAACAAAAAAAAAGAGGAAAATGGAGAGCCATTGCATCCAACCCTGACTGCAAAAGAAAGGAAAGGGTCTGGAGTTCTAATCCTAATACTGGACGATGTTTTTACGAAAATTATTTAATAGAGACTCTTAAGAAAATCTCTTCTATACTTTTGCCCTTTATATGTTATATAACTTATGTATCTTGCATTCCACATGGACCTTGATTAAGTACCTGTACCAAAATCTACAGTTGCATACAGGCCCTGTAGTGTCCCACACTTAAAGTTTTTCTCATTAGCTCCATCTGTTGTGAAGAGGACAACTGCATCGGCACCGAGGGCTTCTTCAAAGGTATTTTTCAAGTGCCTGATGTAGTCATGATCACAGGCATAGTAGCTACCATACTCATTTTCAACCTGCAATAGTAATAATAAATATGGTGATAACGATTATAATAATAATAAATTAAAATATTTATTATAAAGATTATAATAGGAACAATAACAAAAATAATAATAATGATAATAATACTCTTAACAATAAAAATAATATAGTTGATATAATATTGATAAAAATCATCATTACCAACATAACAATGATGAAAATAATGATCATTTAATAATCATCAAAATAATAAAGATGATTATAATACAGTACTAACAGTACTTATTATTGGGTATGTTGCCAAAATGAAGAAGAAACAATTGACAGCAACTGCATCAAGCATTAAGATAACTTTATTCTAATTCTAATTCAACATCAACTTACATAGTAAAAACAAGTAACATGACATAAATTTAAGAAGAGAGATGATGAATTGAAATGAGAAAGTGGCATTGAAAACAAGCAAACCTTTCCCCCAAGAAGCCCTAAAAACAGAATAAGATCGACTTGACTAACTTAACTGCAGGTAAAACTATACCCCGCCAGACACAATCCCGATATTTTTATAAGGTTTCAGGGTAAAAAAATAAAACCATTGTACTCACTTGAATACTTATAATTGGGCCTCCATTAGAGTAGAGAAGGGGCTTAATTTTAGGAAGCAGGACACCCATCCACCTGTCAACAGCTTGGATATAATCTGAGAAATATACAAATTGACAAAATAAACCAGTATCCTTTAAGAAACATCACATATCAAGAACAAATTGAATAATTGTAGTTAGTTTACCAAATAAGAATAAATAATAATGTATAAAATATGTAGTTAAATGGTATATGTACTGCATTACAAAACTAAGTAGGAAAACAAAATGATGTTAAATTAATAAAGTGAAAATATCTGTCAACAAAAACAGCTTAAAAACTTAATATTTTTGAATTGCTATTTTAAAGTGATCAAATATGTAATAAAATCTCAATTTCATTTTCAAAGCAAATATTTTCTGTTGATTAACAGATTGGTTAAACTATTATATCCTTAACATTACTAGTAGCCAGGAGTTTATACAAATAATGTAGAAATTATATAGAAATGGTATAGTATTATTTATACATTTGCTATATTGTGAGAAAAACAATATCATTCCTATTTTCAATCGCAAACTAATAACTAATACTTAAAAATATAAAGTCTCTTCAAATACAGAAAATATGATATAGTGACGAACTCAATGTTATGAGAAAACTATACTGTATATAATTAAATATTCTCTGTGTTCTTTCCTTATAAAGTAAAAACATTTTAAATGTCTTGTGAAACATTCATTTTGTGGATATTTGAAACAAATGTTTTATGTTTTAAACTGTTGACAGGCAGTCTCTAGTGTCCGAAGCACTCACAATTAATTTCCGTTTTGCACTTCCTCACTGAGATTTTTATGTTATTATTTTATTGAAACTCACTTAAGTGCCTTTTAAACTATCAATTACAAATACAGAGAATACTACAAAAGTTGGCCCATAATATTAGAATAAAGCAAATTATAACTTAGTGAGAAGAATTTGAAAGTTTTTACATTGTATATGTAAAGGATACATTATATTGATAATTTTATTTATTTTTTTTTTTTTGCTTAGTTGGGGCGTTAGCATACGTTAATTTTATATACAGTTCCATTTTTATCAAATTACAGTCTTCAATTTATTAATGAGCTTTTGTTACCTTTCTAGCTTTTGATATCTGTTGTTGTCATGGGCTAGCTTTCATTCCATTCTTGTTTAGTTGTAATTTGGTGTTTTTAAGTATTTTCATGATTTGTAGTTTTGCATGTATAAGGTTGAAAGTGTGTTCTGTGCTCTCCTTTTATTGATTTGATTGAGATTGTTTGTGATTGAATTATAAAATTTATCCTGGTCTTCAGATTTCTACTATTTTACTTCTCTGTTCTGGGTTTTTTTAAAAATAAAATTAAATGAAAAACAGTAATACTGTACTATTAGTACTATAAAGCAGCTGCCATAATATTTGGCAAAAACAGCTTCTTGATACAGTATTATTGGAAAAAATAAACAAAGATTGGCCCCTGTACCAAATTAACCCAGGGTCAATTGGTGAAAATTGAGTATCTACTGTATATACTTTTAATAGTATTATAATATTTATCACCTATTCAAGGAAGTGTATAATATATGGAGTGCAATTGTAGCTTAGCAGTTAGTGTGTTCATTTTTACCCATGAACACTAAAAATAGGATACTGATTGTTGCTGATTGCTGGCACGTTACCTTCATCCATTGTCCTCAATTTGATGACACCATCTTTTAGCAGCCATGACGGCAGTCCTCCCTGTAAACACACAAATCATATGACTGCATCATTATGCAATATTAAATAAAAATAGACAAATACTTGAGATAATGCCAGCTTTGAGAGTGGTACATCCTCATTTTCTATCATCATCATATTATCATTTGAGACAATGCCAGCTCTGAGACACACACAGTGGTACATCACTATCATTTATCTACCATTATCAGATTATCATTCTTGTCAAATTGATAAATATATTCAGGTAAATAAACTACAGATAATGCCTGTGGACCTCTCATACTGTATCACTACCATTAATGCTGATTTCTTACCATGTCCCATTCAGCGCAGATGTATGGGCCAGGCCGTAGAATGACAAGTAGACCAGTGTCATTTGCTTTCCTGAGAAACGCTACAAGATCCGCATTATCCTCAAAGGTATACCTCCCTGGTGATCTCTCATGGAAGTTCCATGGTACATATCTTCATTCAGAAACAATAAATAGATCGTTGATTAAACTTTACAGACAATCCAAATGATTAAATGAAAACTTTAGGAGGATGTAAAGCACATACTAGACTGTACGGTTATTTAAAAAATATATTTAAATATTACTTTTCTTCATATAAATTAGTTATAATGAGTGATATATTTTAGACTGAGTTAGCACCAGCTTTATCATAATCCTAGTTGTAGGAAAAATTTTATCACCAGCGCATCTGCAGATGCTATCCACAAATAAAATACTGGGTACTACTGTATGACCAAATATTAAATTCTAGTACTTTTCACGAAACACCATGACATTTTCCATGAATTTAAAGGGCCAAATCTTAAATTTCATATCCCATAACTTTTCAAGGACCAAAATACTAAAATTCATGACTTGAATATTTAATATTTCCTCACTTTTTTTAAAGGTTTGCTTTGTCACAAGACTGTGACAACAGCTGGTTCCAAATGGTGCACTGTACCAAAGAGCTATTGACCTTGTACATATTACCATTATCTGAGCAAAAGAAGTTCCGGTTAAGTTTGTCAAACCCTCCCTTCTGGCTACAGGCCACATTATGCCAAATTTTAAATCCTCAAATTTTATTGCCTTATATTGGATGTACTGGAAAATCCTGTAGGGTAATTTGAACAATTTCTGATAAAAACTAGGTTCTTTGTTGTGTTAAATGATAAATAATAATAAACTGTACTATCTATTTAGTGGCGGATCCAGGAATTGGAAATAGAGGAGACCCAGGGAGGGACTTCAAAGATGGAGTGTTTATACGACCTCAGCCTCACCATGGTTGCAGCCAGGTAAGACAATGCATGATTTTGGCACCTCTAGTGGCTGGAAATGGTACTCACAGACTTCAGTTCTAATATAATTTTAATTTTTTATCCATTTTTTTTTATAATTTTGAAAAATTTGGGGAAGGGGGCCTGGGCCAGCTGGGCCACACCCTTGAATCCGCCACTGCTAATACAGAAAACTAAAAAACTAATGTATTTTAACAGACAAGCTAAATTGAAGTCACTCATAATCTTACCATATTTTTTCTCTACAATTTTATGATTATCCTTGAAATTACGTTCAGTATATTTTTTATCTGAACGGAAGTGTTACTGCTGCAATAAAAGAAATGAGTTAAAGTTGAAAATATATTTAATAGTTTTTGAACAGACGGAAAAGAATGACAATGACATTTTTAGTCCCCGTAAAAATCACAGGAAGGATGCGCATCGCCTGATGTGAGTACTGTAGGATCAATCATCAACATTACTGGCCCAATTCTTGGGTATAAAGTTCTTGTAGCTTAAAACATTGCTATGATTAAAAGTTCAATGACCTGCAGTAATTTTTTCATAGAAATGTTTTCTATAAGAAGGAAATATACAAAGGCGCTGGCATCAGTATTTCCGTGGTCACTGGATACTTAGTTGGCAAACCAGCACATTTTTTTTGTGTGCAAATTTCTCCGCTCCCTGGGGAGTATCCCTAGTCATGTTGGTTTACACGCACAACCACATGTATGTTCAATGCCACAACATCCAACCAGGTACCCATTTATACTCCTGACTGGAGAGAGGCAAACGTAAGTAAAGTGCCTTGCCCAAGGACACAAGCAATGCAACGAGCATCGGTCTCAAAATCCCGATCTCACGATCAGAAGACCGACACCTTACATGCTGAGCCACATGCTCCTAAATATTAGCCTAAAATTATTTGTCCATGTCCTGGTAACTACATTACTACAATCTGAAAGAGCTACAATTTATTGGGAACTCTAAAACACCTTATATAAATTTATATAAAATATCATATCATATCCTATTGTATGAATGAGGCTTTTTCTCAAGTAGCACCCTAAGAAAATCTATGCACTTTAGCAGCACTCCTTTTTTTAACATTTTGAGAATGGCAGGCCCTTTTTTTCATGTACATGCATAAAAGCAGTTAATAAAGAATATAATTTTCAATAGTGTGTTTATCTGCCACTCTGAATTATACACTTCTAAGGTAGTAAGCCATCTAATTATATCTTCAGACATATTATAAAACCACAAAGACTTCAATAGCTGTACAGACCCAAACTCTATTGCATAGCGTATGCAATTATCCTGGCAGACATTCAAAGACAGTCCTACTGTTCAACCACTTTAAAAAATATATTTTTTTGCTATTGAAGCATCATATGACAAAGTCATTAATAAATGTTAAATAAATGAAAATGAAATGAAAAATCACCACAATAGAATTTATAAATTGTCAGTTCTGTAGTGTTTATAATAATTATTAACAGAAATCTTAAAAAGAAACTATAAACACGGAGCTGCATTTCTATAACCTAAAAAAGTTCATCGTATGTGTGACCTAATATGGTGAATTCACCCAATAGTTTAAATCCATTTCTGATGCTGTGCCAAATATATGTAATAAAATGGAATGAAGTACTAGGAAAACAACACATCTCAACATCCCTCTTGGGAGTGTTATATTCTGTCTACCCAGGCCTCCGTTGTCTTAGTTGTTTTCCATTTTATTTAGATGCAGGTTTCTTTGGGATTGGAGCATACAGGTGAATATGAGACTTTGAAGTAGTCAGGAACTTCAACATCTGTTCTGTCTGATAAAGACCATTATCTGATCTTTAAATCAATTTTTCAGCATGTCGATACAAGTTTAAACAAAAATAAGAAATTAAAAATAACATAACACATGGACTGCCAAACCTTTTTTTAAGTTTCATTCCTGTGTGCCAAAACAAGTTAACATGTGCAAACATACTTTTTTGAAATTTTATCTAGTCACATATCATCAAAATTATGTGTCTAATAAATTGGCGGGAAAATATTAGGGGACGGGGGGAAGTAAACTCATCGAATACACTGTGATAGCACTTTATATTGACTATGCCAAGTGCGACTTATCTCGTCCGCTTTTTGCATGGGTTGGTATATGTTCGAAGGGAGCCGCTCAGGTGTACTACCGGCAACATAACGCCACAAACATACATATGTCATTGCACGTTAGCATCTAGGTGTATGTTCCCCTAAATACCAGCCGTTGAGTCTGTGGTTGTACAGTGTATAACAAAGAAGTTATAAATGCTAGAATGCAGCAACACCCTGTGAATGAGTATAATCATTGCTGGCAGCCAACGTGCTTAATAAATGACTAAATTGTCATAATTTTTCCAGATATGGCATCAGATTTCAAAGATACCGTGTGGAACTAAATCTGGAAAATCCTCAAATATTAAATTAAATGACTTATATTATTATCAACTTTCAATATAAAAAAGTCAAAACATGAAAGTGTTATTTTTCTGACTAATTTAGTTCACATTTTTGGTTCTATGCATGCTAATATAGGAACAGTATAGTTGTGTGTTTGTTTAAAAAGAATAATTTTTATAGTTTTAATAAGTTTAGTTGGCATTGGTATTGCTGGGCATTTAGAGAGTGCAGTCTCTACGCACTTTAACAACTGTTTTTGAAAAGAAGAAAGCAAGGAAAGGAACATAAGAAAATTAAAAGAAAAAAAATCATAATAAATAGCTAATGATGTTGTAATTTTTCATACTCACACTTGGATTGCATTCAAGCCAGTGGCATACATTTTCATGAGACGATCATCCCAGTATCCTCTGGGAACTCTTGCATAGTGGATACTACCAGAGATGTAGCGGAAAGGTTGGCCATCTTTGCTGAAGGAATTATCATCATAATTGACAACAAATGAATGGGACTTACACTATGAAACAGATAGAAAATTTTCACATCATCAAATATTTATGTAAACAGTAAAATGTTTTCTACCCATCCATAATTTAGCTTCTAGGTAAGAAGTGAAATTTTCATGAAAGAGCTAGGCTTATACAGAGATTTTCAAAAGGCCAACGAAGGGCAACCCTACAGACAGACAATACAGTTAGCATGGAGGTATAATACCTCCATGCAGTATTAAGTAGACTAGCCTCAGCTGTAACACGACACCCACTCACAGAAGTGGGCTAGGCTAGCCTAATTTAAAAAAAGTAAGGCATTTCGGCCCACAGTAGTTAGTTAACTGCTCTGACTAGCCAAGGTATGTTCATGGTTTTTCCCTGTTAAATCTTAAACCGTCAATGCCTTAAATGGGAGCGTTACCTAGCTACTATACCCAGGATAGCCTAGGGTATAGGCCCTAGCCCAGCCTTATCCCATACCTAGCCTAGCCGGCCTGGCAATGCAACGGGCCCGAGCCTATCTCCACCTAGCTATTTACACTTTATATTACGCTTAATGAATGTAACATTTGAAATTCTATGTATTAACCAATACCTTGCCAAAATTTATAAGTGTAACAAGTAAAGCGATGTTTAATAACATCATTATCTTCATTTTCCCCAAACTCCACGACACTTTGTATCCCTCTCTCTATCCGCCGTGTTATAGTCACCTGATCTGACTTTTTGTTGTTCATGTGATCACTTATAACGGGCCCTGGGTCGTGCATACAAGAAAGCACTATCTCAGAAAGGCAAGCAGAGTGCAGTTCAGAATAAAAATGTTGCTGGAGCTATAGATTTCGATAATAATTAATATAGGCATAATAATATTATAATAACAATATAAACAATATCAATTATATATAGGGCCTATATATATAAGCCTATATATAGTATATATTTATATATATATATTATACATACATATATATCTGTCTCTTATACATATCTTTATTGTGTGTGTTTGCAACAGTTAGCCATATTTCAGAAGAGGACCCTTCCTAACAACAATACCGATTTATTGTTTCCTTAGTATAATGCGCATGCGTGAGGCTTGAAATTGAAACTGCAACTTTTTGAGGACTTGAGCGTTGCTACATAAGTCAGCAGTCAGTGTTAAGACAGCAAGAGGTTTACAGGGATCAATGCTCTGTGTTTTGAACGATCATTTAGAACAGAATAAACCAAAGAAAAGAATTCAAAATGAATCCACGACTAGCAGTACTAGTACTTTTTACGAACGCTCTGTTGGGGAGTGTTAGCAGTAAATTCGAATTTGGAACATCAACAGACGATGCAGTGCGCACCGAGGGTACATATGAGGATTTGTTAAGAGGAAAAGAGGCCCTGCAGGAAAAAGTACAACAAATGTCGGAGACATGCACCAAAGGGACTGATGGGGAGAAAAATCCTACATTTATATGTCAACCTCAATTCAATATACCAGAGCATTTATCAACTGGCGGTGGAAATTGCTGTAACTGTACAAATGGTCTAGCAGAAATGAAATTGATTCTCAAAAAAGTTGAGGCAAAATTGAAGAACCTCGTCACAACAAAGAAAAGCTGTTTTGCTGGTAAGTAGATTCGTCTCATCGTCGATCCCCACCTGATAATTCGAGCACGACCTCCTTTCAGATGCATACCGTACCCTTTTTACTATAACTCTCTCTTCGTTTTTCTCCATCATAAATATATGCAGTGTATTCGTAATTGCACCCACCAATCCAAATTCCTGTTTTTATATAATTGTATTCAATAAATTATAAATGTATAGAAATATCATAGTAAAAAAATAAAAAAGTAAATCAATCCTGTTTTCTAACCGTTTGCCTGTATATTTTTGTGTGACAGCCGCACTAAAATAAATTAAACTACAGAACAAACTCACATATAGTTATGGTGCGGCATATGAATAATAGTGATTAATTTCAACTGCCAAATGATGCGCAAATATTGAAATAAATTGAACATTATCTTGTCTTGTTATCATTTATCTTAATTCTGTTTTGATTACGGACGCACATTGTTAACTATAGACTTTACTGTACAAAGATAAGTTAATTACATATAGTAACTCAACATATTTATTTATTAGTTAGAGTTAACGAGGCCTATATAAGAATATAATTTGAATAAATATTAATTTATATATATATAGTATTATTAATAATATTAATATATTCATCGCCATATGTCATTGTCTTGTTATTATCATTATTAATATCATTATTTAGCATATTATTTTCTAACATAATACAAATATATGTATTACATGAAGGTACAACTTATATTCTGCCCTAGTTAAACGTTCTAGTTAAACAGCTTTGTTTGGTTGTGAGCTAATTTTAAACTTTAACATAACAACTACCTTCCTTTGACGGTAAGCCACTAAACCACGGATATTAACATTTATAATATATTCTTTCGTTTTGACTGCTATTGAGGTTGCTTATAATTATCTACAGAATGAAATACATAACCAACGTTAAAAATATGCTTTCTGTGGTAAACTATGATAAAAACCCTGAAACATTTAAATTAAAACTGTGAATTTGCTCATTTAAAGCGTTCAAAATTTATCAACATCCAATGAGACGGAACACTTTTATTGCTTTTGAAAAATAATATTTAAAATAAAACCTATAAATAATCATAATGATAATATATTATTATTATTATTATTATTATTATTATTATTATTATTATTATTATTATTATTACTATTGTTATTATTATTATTATTATTATTATTATTATTATTATTATTATGTTACTAAAGCCTACGTTAAGGGGAACTTAGACAATGGAGAAATTAAAGAACAATAAAAACAATTAAAAATATTATTATTACTATTATTATAATAATAATAATTATTATTATTATTATTATTATTATTAGTATTATTATTATTGACGTAGGCCTAATATCGGCGACTTCTTCATTCGAACGTGATTGAATAATTGTGGAGTACGGTACATTTTCGCATGGATATAGTTAGAATATTGTTTATTAAATTGGAATGAAAGTTTAACGAGGTCACGGCACCCATAGGAAAAATAATCGGAAGTCAGTATCAAGTTCACGTTAAGAAGTATTGAATAATAATAAGACTTATGGAGTAAATACAGTTTTATGTCATGGTTCAGTGTTTGTTTGTTTTTTTTTTTTGTTTTTTTTTTTTTTTTTTTTTGTTTTTTTTCTTGTTTTTTTTTTTTTTTTTTAGTTCTTTCTCATCGAATGGCGAGTATATTCACCGTGAGAGGGTGAACACCTTAGTATCATTGGATGTTTTCTCAGAATAGGTGGTGATGATGATGATGGAGATGACGAGGTTGATGACTATGATGATGACGATAATGATGATATTGATGGCAATGAGGATGATGATGATAATTATAATAGTAATAATGATAATATATATGATATAATATTTTTTACAAACTATTTGAAGTTGGATTAAACATACCTAGCACATGTTTTTGCCGAGATAGAAAAAACCAAACGTATTTGTACAGTATTTGTAAAAAAATTTTAAAAATTACCGTAATTTGAAGAAAAATGTTCTTATCGCGGCACAATGTGCTCCAAATTACCATGGTTAGTGGGTGCCTGATATCACAATGGGGATCGAGCATTGTCTGTAAGGGTGTTTAAACCTGTGAACTCTCGATGTGTCATTCATACCACGGATAGTGTCAATAATGTGAAGATACAGTAAACGACCGTAGTTTATTTTTCCAAAAAAATTCTCACGTAGTTGATTGCGGGATCAGTTCCAATATAAATAACACATTACTTTAATTGAACACAATAACCAATGAGATCCTTCCTTGGTCAAGGGTAGACAGGATCTACAGTGGATGTGGTTTTGTTTAAATCTATTTTAACTTACTATAGTGGGAAAATAAACAATATAACGACAGGGATCGTAATTCAACATTGAATGGTGATGTTTTTACATCAAAATCTTGGTGAATAAACTATAGAGCACTTTGGTCATAATTGGATTTACATTAATATACTATGCAACATAATGGGTCTACTTATGGTACTTATGCTGTGTACACATTAAATACCTACAGTATAAACAGTCATAATTTATTAATTATTATCTTTTCATTAAATATTTAGATATTTAACAGAAATATAAATACAGTAATTATGACGTCAGTAGGGGCTGCCGAGGATTGGTAATAGTATAAAACTCATCCGAAGACAGGTCTACCCAAAACCCCACTCCATGTTTTCAATGTACAGTACAGATACGGATCCAGAGATGTCCGAAAGGTGGTGGGAGCCGAAGGAGGGTGGGGGAGGGGGGATGCAACATTGGGGACGATCTAGGCAACACTACTCTAGGGCGTCTGGGGCATGCCTATATATCATACAGTGTGATTAATTTATGTTATATAACATGTACCGGTACTCGTTTTTTAATGAATTGGACAAACGTGCTGTAAAAATGATTAACAATTATAAGGCCAAATAAAAGAGATTATTTTGTTGGCCACGCCCGACCGACCCAAAATGTACGAAATTAATTGAGGTTCGGCATTTGATTGATTGATTAATTAATTAATTTTTTTTTACAACGAAAAATATTTTCCCCACCTACTTACCCATTTTCCCAAAAAACACAAGATTTTTTGTTTTTTAATTTATTTTCAGGCCCAAAAAAAATTAAATTAATAATATTATTTTAATTTTTTTTGGGCCTGATACATGCAATACACAAACTACATCTGGAAGAAAAATTAATTGCATTACCATTTCAGAACCTCTACCGAAGGATTGTGCAGAAATACTAGCAAGTGGCTTTGGGACAAGTGGGAAATACGAAATTAAACCAAATGGCGATGGTAAACCTTTTGAAGTTTACTGTGATATGGACACAGCTGAAGGCGGTTGGACGGTACGGGGTCATGCATAAGTTTTTATAATTTTTTTTTGTAGTACTGTATAATAATTACCTTAAAAAACAAAAATTCACTTACAAACACAGGTTAAACCTATTTAATATAAGTGCTGAGGAAACAAAGGAGGCAGAGCCTGTGTTTCATTGTAATCTTCATTGGACTAGGGTAGGCCTACTCCATTGTCCGTAACCACCTCAGATTTATTCCATTGTTCTTTATTAGAACCGTAAGGGATTCGATCGTGTTATTATAGCCTGATACAAATAAACAAATAAGGTTTTTCAAGTAAATAATTGGGTTAAACGTTTCCATTTTTGGTGACATTCAATGTGTGTATTTCAGGTTGTCAAGAGAGAATTGTCTTCGCACCTGCCCTGAATTATTAAAAATGTATTTTAAAATATATTGGGAAAAAGAATACATTAAATTTTATTTCTGTGAGTTCAATTTCTGCCCATATAATAGGTGATCCATACAATTTCGTAACACAGCCCCAACCATTGTGGGACTGAGATGGTCTGGGTCCCAATCCATCCATTTTATTCCTACCAGACCAGG